GAATAAAAATTGCCTCCCCCCACATACTTTGCAACTCTTGGTTGATGAATGTAGAAAAAGTGTATTTTAAACTATGAAGTGCTCTGCAAATGTAGAGGATTGCAAAATGGTAGTCTTTCTCCATGTTTTTTAGATTTTTTTTATTTTTTATCTTTTTTTGCTTCACATAAAGTCAGGTGCCCTGGTCTGCCTTTGCCAGCCCTGTTAGAATTAGGATTTCCTAGGCCGGCCCGGTGGCACACTGCTATAGTGCACCGCTTGGGAAGCGTGGTGGCGCTCCCGCCGAGGGTTCGGATCCCACATACAGACCGGCCGCTCACTGGCTGAGCGAGGGGCGGGCTATTTTAAACTATGAAGTGCTCTGCAAATGTAGAGGATTGCAAAATGGTAGTCTTTCTCCATGTTTTTAAAATTTTTTTTATTTTTTATCTTTTTTTGCTTCACATAAAGTCAGGTGCCCTGGTCTGCCTTTGCCAGCCCTGTTAGAATTAGGATTTCCTGGGCCGGCCCGGTGGCACACTGCTATAGTGCGCCGCTTGGGAAGCGTGGTGGCACTCCCGCCGAGGGTTCAGATCCCACATACAGACCGGCCGCTCACTGGCTGAGCGAGGGGCGGGAGCAACACCGAGGGTTGCGATCCCGTTGCCGGTCCCAGTCCGGTACGGGCGCGACACTGAGGGTTGCGATCCGTTGCCGGTCACGAAAAAAGACAAAAAGGAAGAAAAAAAAAAAAAAAGAATTAGGATTTCCTGTGGTTACCCTCTTCAGATGGTTGCTTTTGCAGAGTGAACTAAGGAGTGGATCTCCTTGTAGAGTTCCCATCACTGTAATCCTCTAATAATATTGGGGCCTGGAGGTGTTACCAGGATTTAGGAAAGTAAACCCACATTTTAGGCCTGGCCTCAGCCCCAGGTCACTGGTGAGCACATTGTCGTCATCCTGAATGATGAATTCATCACCACAAGCTGTACCACTGAGGGCCGCTTGACAGTATTTCTCTCTCCCTAGGCGGCTGCTGAAGAGTGAACTTGGATCATTCATTACAGACTATTTCCAGGTAAGCTGTGTGGGTCTGAGCATCTGTCATCATCATGCATTTGGGTCCATGTACTAAAAGGGGTGGCCAGTACTGTACACCTGCACATTCCTTCAACATCCAAAATTACATATGCCGAGTCTCTACTAGGTATCTAGCACTGCAATGCAGCAGCAGCAGAGAGGCTCCAGGCAAGTGTGGTCCTTGCAATTCATGAAGTTTATAGCCCAGTGCAGCAGTTTTCAAGCTTTTTGGTCTCCAGACCCTTCTTTAACATTCTTAAAAATTGTTTATTGGGTTTATGTCTATCTATCTTTACCATATTAGAATTTAAACCTAAGAAGCTTTAAAATGTCTTAGTTCATTTAAATAATAAGCCTGTTACATATTAGCATAAGTTGCACTTTTATGAAAAATAACTTTCAGAATAGAAAATAGTAAGAAGACTGGCATTGTTTTATATGTTTGCAAATCTCCACACTGTCTGGCTTCATAGGAGACAGCTGGATTCTCATATCTGCTTCATGTTTAATCTGTCGTGACATTGCATATCACATAGTCTCTGGAAAACTCCACCATATGCTCATGGAAAATGCAAAGGGAAAGGTAGAAAACAGCTTAGTATTATTGAGAAAGTAGCTTTGACCATGATGGGGGATCCCTTGAAAGGGTTGGGGGGCTCTCCCAAGGGACTCCAGACCATGGCTTGAAGGACATTCCCTCCCACCCTCATGTGTGCTTTTCAATTGGGTATAACTATATATGCTCTTTAGCCATGTTATTTTTTGTCACTAAGCTTCTGATCTGTGAAAGATAGAATTGGATCAGACGATCAAACTTCCCTCCTGCCTATACACAATTGTAACAGGGCCAATGAGTTCAAGCTCCTGGTCCGGTTAGGGGATAGTTTCTAATACACAGACACAAGCTCATTTCCTGACTCTAACCAAAGGCATATGGTGGGGAGGGTGTGGGAAGGTGTTGGGTGACAGTGAGTAACTGACTGGGTTACACGTTAGTGAAGTCACAGTCCCAACTTCTCACTTATTTGCCCAATAGTCTTCTGACCAGAAGAGTGGGCAAGCTGTTCCACCTCTCTGTGCTTCAGCTTCCTCATCTTTAAAATGAGAATAAAAATATAACTTACCTTATAAGGTTATTGTATGGTTTGCATGAAATAACACATGTAAAGCACTCAGCACATGGTGTGCAGGTGGCAGCGTAGGGTAGTGGTTAAGATCATGGGCCTTAGAGGCAGACTACCTGAGTTCATGGCCAGCAGTCACTTACTAGCTGTGTGACCTTGAGCAAGTTGCTTTACCTCTCTGTGTTTTAGTTTCCTTTTCTGTGAAACAGTGATAATAGGACCTAAGCTTATAGGGTTATTGTTAGGACTAAAGTTGTGATTTCTAATGTGCTTAGTGACTAGCACAGGGTGGTAAGATAGAGCAGTAGGTGTTTATTAAATTTATAGGTGCCTATGTGTTATTATTCTAAAGTGTAATCCATCCCGTTTAATGGAAAAGTAACATAAAAATGTAACATCTTGGTTTCAGTCTGGTGGTTTTACTCCGTACCCAAGTAGAGCATACTCTTAAGACAGTTTAAAGAGATTTTAGGTTTTAAAAACAACACAGGCATCCTTTTATTGTTTTTTCTTTCCAAGATTCAGGAAGCATAAACTTTTATGTGCCTTTTAAAAGGATGATAAATGTCAGTTATTTAAACACACGCATACACACGCATGCACGTGTACCCATGCACGTACAGCAGAAAACAGCTACTGTAGATTTGGGCAAACCAAGGTCCAACAGAAGCCTGGAGTTTAATCAGGTCATAAGTCTTAGCTGCTTGGGAGATAGCTCCTGTTCAGGAGAGACTAAGATGAAGAAAGTGGTAATTAGTTACAAATGTGAATCACTGCAGTTGCCCTTGACTCAAAGGTCAATCTTGGCCTCACGTTCTTCTCTTGCTGTCTTTATTGATTGATTTTAAATCCAACTACAGAGAAGTGGTTTTTTAGTCAGTCCTGGAGAAATCTGCTGGGTTGGGCTGCTTTCCTCCTTGACATTTAAAAGAGACAGGGCTTGGTGTGGTTTCAATCAGGTTTTAAATGTCAGTTGTCTTTTGGCATTGGGGGCTACCCCTAGGATGGGTAGGGAGGGATGTTTGGGTGGGGACTTGTTTATCTGGGAAGCCCTGAGGTTTTCGGGGGTGGTTAATACTGCTTACCAAGCATGCCATACACTTAACCTTGCCATTCATTTCGTATCAGGAACAAAATCAGAGAAGCTGCTTGGTGAATATTAAGTCTCTTTCTGGGGGTGTGGGGTAGGGACTGGTTTTCAGTTTTTATTCTGGGGTTTTCCTTATTTAAGGTGCTAGACTGGAAAAAAGGCTTTCCTAGACACTTTTTCCCCCAAGTTATAGGTTTTAAATCTCATGTGGGCACAGAGCCTTTTTTTCCCCTGTCAGTCTGTTTGGTTCCCTACTCCTTCCAAAGTCCCTGTCACATAGTAGATGCTCAATAAACATTCTTGAGGGAGGGGGAGGGATTGTCTACCACAGATATCTGAAATGATTTTAGGTGATACATGCAATGGCATTAAATAACGTTAGAACTTGTGGTTAGAAAGTGTTTGGGTTTTTATTTTCCTTTAGCCCTTATGATTGGGCCAGAGAGTCTTAGTTTGTGCCACTGTGTCTTTTATACTTCTCCAGAACTTGGCAGTCTCTCTTGTTTAAGAAAGAGGGAGCTGGCCTTCAACTTAGTGTCTTCAGCTAGGGACACTGTCTATTTAGAATGTCGTAACATTATTTTGTTTACATTGAGTTGATTGTTGAGTTACATTCCACTTGTGGAACATAATGCTACAGTTTCCTTTTAAAACATATTAATGTTTTTAAAAATTGGATCGATTCAGGAAAAATAGTATGCAAAGACTAATCATGTATGTGGCCCTGGCTGTAACCACATTTGTGAAGGTATCTCAAGAGAGACACAGGTTTGGGAAGCCCGACACCAGACAGTGCTTGAAAATGAGCTAATTACAAAGCCATTCACTCTACAGAAGAGATCTACATAGGAGGAGGGAGATCCAGGAGGGGAAGACTTACTGAGAGAGCTTAGCCTTTGCATTTGTCTATCAGATGTAGTTTCAAGTGCAAAGTCAGATGGGCTCCAGAAATTATGTTCCTCAAGCAAGGGGGTGGGAGAGAGGTCTGGGGACAGATGAGGAACAGAATACATGGCTGCACAGGAAAGTCATGAAACCATGGATGTGTGTGTTTGGAAAGGCAAAGAATGGGCTCATGGGGCCCTGGCTGGCTCCTCAGTGTGGGAGTTCAGATGGCCACCCCCAGGCATCTGCATTCAGCAGTGTGATGACTGTCTCCTCTTGGGAACCTGACCCCCAACTCAGAGCTCACCATTTGTAGCACCATCTCTGGCAGTCATGAAACCATGGATGTGTGTGTTTGGAAAGGCAAAGAATGGGCTCATGGGGCCCAGGCTGGCTTCTCAGTGAGGGGGTTCAGATGGCCACCCCCAGGCATCTGCATTCAGCAGTGTGATGGTTGTCTCCTCTTGGGAACCTGACCCCCAACTCAGAGCTCACCATTTGTAGCACCATCTCTGGCTCTGCTTTTGCAAGGGAACATTTTCATTTCATTGCTTTAAAGAAAGACCCACAGAGAGAATATCCTCCATGAAGAATAATGAAAATGACTGGAGGTGACGGCAGGGGAAGCAGGTAGAAAAATAGTGCTTATCGCACGTCTGCACACAGAGAAGACAGGCCATTTGATCCTCAGAAGCCTGGATAGATGTCCATAAGACACTGGCTGGAACAGTCTCTGACATTTCCAGTATTGATTTTTTCTTTTCCCTGTTTTGAATTGTGCCCAGAAGGCAAATTGGGGTTTCCAAGAGGAACGCTATATCCTAGCAACAGCTCTGAGGGATAATTGGTTCCTTATAACTTTTGAAACTGATGATATGAAATGTTCTGCCTTTTTCTATCACTTAATTAGGTATCTTGGTGGTTCAGGGCATGGGGTGGTTTGCAGATAATACTTTCTGCCATTCTCCATCTGCTGGCTGCCTTGTATTTGTTGAAAGCTTTTCCCCAAACCCAGAAATTTTAATTTCTTTAGTTGGAACTAGAGTTTTGCTTGATACAAAAACTCAGGCTGGAGTCAGTGGCTCTGAATGAGTGAGTTCTAAGAAGAAGGGTGTCGGGCTGGGTCACAGACCCTTCAAACCCGTTGTGCAGACTGGGTCACAGACCCGTCATATGCAAGTCGTAAGCTACGTAATTGGAGAAAGATCCTGGGAGCTGCTGGCAAGGTTGACATGCTTTATTCAGACACCAGCTCAATCTCCTCAGCAGCAGCCCCCCAGCGGCCTTGACCCCCTTATGGACTCCCGGGGGTGTCCCAGGGGCACTGTAGATCAGAGTCGTTAGTCCTTTATACTTAAGTCAGATAACCCAGGGATACCTGGGTGTGAGTCAGATAACCAAGGTACACCTGGGTGCACATGCACAATTACATCAGACAATAGCCAAGGAACACCTGGGTGCATGTGCGCAGTTAACACTTACATCAAACAGGCTAGGTCATGCTCAGCAAGATTCCGAACATCTGAAGGAGACTGACCATTCTTTTTCATTTTCCTTTCAAAGAGAGACTCATCTACCAATTGCCAGTAGGTCACAGATGCCTGGTAGTGTTTGAGATATATCTGTGTGTGGGGAGGTGCGTGCTCAGTGGGGGGCATACACTGGGGACAGGCCCCACATCCCAGGCTGCCACCTTTCCCCTGCCTGCCCCAACACGCCCTTCATGATGACCCACGGTGAGCTGTATGTTTCCTGCCCACTGAAGACCGAATGGTTTTTGAAGCCTTTTCTCAGACGTCCTTGCTTGCATTTTTCCTAGGTGATCCTTGTTTTTCTGTTTGCAGCCCATTTTTCTACACCTTAGAAAAAATAGACACATTAGCTGTTTTTTTCACTTCTGGGCTTCTTTGCCACTTCATTAAAGTGCTGTTTATTCCATGTCTAAGTTCTTTTATGGGTTGGGGGTGGGGATACATAAAGTAATGGGCCCAGTTCCAAGTCCCAAGTCACTTCCTAGGTGGCTGCTATTTGTTGTAACCATTTTGGGGCTTGAAGCCTTCTGGGTGGGGAGGTGGTGGAGCTGGTGCCATCAGGCAGAGGGACTGGGATGAGAGAAAAGTTGGATCTTCTCCAGCTCTGTTCCATACAGTAGAGCTCCATCACCCCTGCCCAGCAGTAAACATCTACTCAGAACCTTCCAGAGTCAGGCATTTGTCAGGGCATAGGAATCCCATGATGTGAGGTCCAGCTTTTGAAAGGTGCTTTAGTTTCCTGGAAAATGGGTCCCTGTAAATATCATCAAAACTGTGTGACCAGTTGATTTTGTATAAAAGACTGGGGAGAGGGCAGAATGACTAGATGATCCTCGATCCTTCTAACCCCAAGTCATTTTAATTTCTCATATTTTGGCCTAAGCTAGAGAATTTCCATGCTGTGTATCATGAGAAGTTTAAAAAGAATGATTTCCCCATAATACAGGAAGAACTTTTCCTTGAAAATATATAAAAAGATTTCCCCCCTAATGTCTCCCTAAAGGGGAAAGGTTTAGAAAGGAGAAAAAAAGGAAAATCTAAGCTACTTTTTGAGGTTTATTCCTCAAGATATGGACAAAGTAACTTTTATCAAATGAGGAAA